TATACTATAACACCTCTGGCCCGGTATGACCAGGTGGTTAGGGCGCTCGACTCGTAATCTGAGGGTCGCGGGTTCGAATCCACGTCACACCAAACATGCTCGCCCTTTTAGCCGTGGGGGCGTTATAATGTGACGGTAAAAGAGTAGCCCAAGAGTTGGCGGTTGGTGGTGATGACTAGCTGCCTTCCCTCTAGTCTTACACTGCTAAATTAGGGACGGCTAGCGCAGATAGCCCTCGTGTAGCTTTGCGCGAAATTCAAAAACAAACAAACAAACAATAACACTTCTACTTAATTACATAAACTTAGATATGTGAAGATTTTCTCAGATATGAAAGTTGAATTAGTTTGACAAATATTATTTTTTGTCTTTTTTTCCATCGCAATGTCTTCTGATGGTAGTTTTATAGTACAAGGGTTATTAACGCCTGGAGAACAACACATTACAACTCTTGCATTTTAAGAAAACTATGAATAAATAGTTATTGGTGGTATAACTGTCGTTTCTGACAGGAATACGAAAAGTTTAATCAAGGAGATCAAACACAACTGAATTTTTATAATTATCGAAAAATAAATAATGAAATAATACTTGCCAAAACATGAAATAACCATGAATTAGCTTTCAAGTCATTTATCTTACAGACAGATTAATGAGAAATAAAGAATTCTGAACAACTGGATGCTTAGCTTTTTGTTTTCAAATAATACATTTTATTGAACATAAATATTATTGTTTTCACCAAATTCTTAACATAATGTTTCCTATGCTAATCTAGTAAGATAAATATTATACGTTTTTGTCATCATTATCCAATTTATAGATAAGCGTTAAGCAAACAACCCTAAGATTCCAAATTTATAAATAAAGTAATCTAAACTTTTGTATCAGAAACAGCTGATTGTAAAAAAAAAATTGCCATCCCGTGACACAGCTGTATTTCTGCGGACTTACAACGATAGAAACCGGGTTTCGATACCCATGGTGGGCAGAGCACAGATAGCCCAGCTTTGTACTTAACTTCAAACGAACACAAGATAGAATATGATAATAATATTAATATAAGTTTCTACTCGGAAATTATATCATTTAAATTATAAACATTATTGGAAATTTCAAAAAAGTAAGAAGTTATTTTAAATGGTAAAAATGGTAAAATATATTTACGTAACTTGTTTCATTGTTTAAGAATTTATGCGGAAAGCTACATAACAGCAATTAGCGCATAGCCGTCTCTAATTTTGAATTAATAGTGTAGAAGGAAGGCAACTTGTCAACACCACCCATCGCAAATTTTTGCGGCAATTTTGTTTAATCGAATAGTGGGATTTGTTTTTGTTTTGTTTTGAATTTCGCACAAAGCTACGCTAGGGCTATCTGCGCTAGCCGTCCCTAATTTAGCAGTGAAAGACTAGAGGGAAGACAACTGGTCATCACCTCTCACGGCCAACTCTTGGATTACTCTTTTATCAACTAATAGTGGGATTGACCGTCACATTATAACGCCCCCACGGCTGAAAGGACGAGCATGACTGGGAGAACGGGGATTCAAACCCACAACCTGCAGATTACGAGTCGCGCTCCCTAACCACTTAGCCATACAAGGCGTAGTGGGTTTTGACTATCATTCTAATAGCGTATCACGGCCCCAAAATGCAATGCGCATTTATGTGGCAACAAGATGCGAACTCTGAACCTTATGACTGTCAGCCCTGGTACACGATCTTCTAGGCCACATCCTGTAAATGGAACATCAGGAATTTCTCTTCCACTTTTACTGGGAGTTATGCTGATTAAATAGATAATTAATGAAATTTTCAGATTTATCATGAGATTTTTTTTCTATTTACAGGTGAAGAAAAATTGCCACTTACAATTGGTCTAATAGAGGTCGTCTAGGAAACCAGATGGGAACATTTGCAACTTTATATGGCTTAGCTCGCCTTAACAATAGAAAACCTGTTCTTCAGCCATATACTGCCACGTATGTTAGTAGGTATTTTAATATATCTGTAACTGCGACTGAGAGTCTCTCTGAAAGTAACTATAGCCTTCCTTCATATAATATTCACAGATATATACGTTCAAGTGATGTTTCAATACCTAAAAAAGCTGTTATTTTGAGAGGACATAAAACCCCAAACTCACCAACATTTTATGATTTTGTTAGATATGAAATAAAACAAGAATTTCGGTTCGTTGATCCAATTGATCGTTACGCCGACTCGATGTTACATAAAATACAACAAACACACCCACAGGTAGAGACATTTGTTGGAGTTCATGTCAGGAGAACAGATATGAATAAGGTATTATTAAAGTACGGTGCCTCACTTCCAGGTAGAGATTTTTTTAATAAGTCTATGAATTACTTTCTGTCTAGATATAGAAATGTAACTTTCATTGTCGTAAGTGATGACCGGAAATGGTGCAAGGAAAACTTGAAACACCCTAATGTAGTCATTGCTCCAAGTCCACCATCTCCTGCTCACGATATGGCAGTATTGTCCAAGTGTAACCACAGCATCATAACAAAAGGGACATTTGGACGCTGGGCAGGATACTTAGCTGGAGGAGAAACTATTTATTTTAAACCTTTTCCTCCGAATCACTATTATCTGAAGTTAAATCCATATGAATTGATGTACGTTCCTGAATGGATTGGCATGTCATGACTCCTTTAATTCACATTTACTTTCAGTGTTGTCTTCTTAAGTAAGCTTAACGTTTGGCAATTCTTTAGTTGGTTGGCAGTTTATAAATTATAAAGTTACAAAACATTATTGTAAAGATCAAAAACAATTACTTCAAAATAAAATAAATATTTCAAACTTTATCTAAGTGAGTGAAACATGGTAAGTTTAATCAAACATAAGGTTTCTTTTTAAAGACTACATTCATATGATGAAGTGTATAGAGTTAATTCACAATACAAAATTTTTTTCTTCAAAATCTATCAGACGAATTCAATGTTGAAATAGTTAAATTAATAACCCTGATCTTGCTATTAAAGCTTTTTTTTACAGTTAATTAACAGATATGAAGAAAATATTCCCAATTACAGACTTAAGCTTATTCCTCTGAAAGTTGATATTGACATCTTGTTTTGGCATTAGAAATCCTGTTTAAGCAACCATAAAAAACGTTATATATTTCTACAAATGTTATAATGCCCTAACATTCCTAAACTATATTTGAAAAAATGTAACAATAAATGAAAAAAGCTACATAGAAAATGGTTTTAAAAATGAAATTAAAAATAACGATGCTGCTATTTTTAAAACAAATGTTAAGGTTCATACTTTATTAGCAGAAGTTATTCTGAGACAAAAGTTTGTAAAATACAAGTGGTAATAGTAAGTTTGTGAAGTGAAGCGAGTACACTGAGTGGTCACAAGTAAATAGACACCTAATTTTTGGTCATTTAACTGATTTATGCTAACTAATTTGTGTTCACGGAGTACTATATAAATGAAAATGGTCCGCACACTAGTTATCTTGTGC